TTCGTTTTTGGCTTGGTAGATTAGATTTTCAGAGTCACAGAAGGCCATAGCAGAACCGTTACCCACGGGATCCCGAATGGATGTAGACCTGCATTGTGAGTGTGAGTGTGTGTAAGGGTATAACTATCTTTGAAAGAAATGAAAAATGTAAAAAGAAAAACAATGAGCATAAAGTTTGTATGCAAAACATCCATGATTCATTGATGTCATATGGAGATGAGATAATAACCCTTACAAATGGACCGTTATGCCTCGGGTAAGACACAAGGTTTTAAGAGTTTGAAATGTTTTAATATTACAGATCTAACAAAATGTAAAGACAAATTACCGTGGGATAAAAGTGATCGAGACAAAATATCTAGCCTCCCAATTACTGAGCCCTCCACTGACAGTTGGGAAGATCCAACCCTCCAGGTGGCAGCCATCTTCATCATCCTCTGCCACGTTAACTTCACGGTTGCTGATCTTCAGGGGTGGTCCTCCAGCATGAGTGCAGCGTACAACCTTCTGATCACTTGAAGTGAAAACTAGGCCAAACTTATCAGATTTGTATGGGATATCTGGGAGTTGTCCCCAGATAGTGCACCCACCTTCTTCTATCACTGCCTTTGCATCCTTCAAATATGACATCCAGAGTGGAGGCCTTGTGATCTTAGGAACAACCCTGGTTACTGCCACATCTTGCGGGACTTCTTCAAAATGTTGGAATGGAGTTTCAATAAATTCAGCATCTAATTCCATATATCTGAAAGAATTGAGATGGTTGATCATATATTCTTCTTCTTCATGAATGGTGATAATCTTCCCTTGAATTGGGTACTTCAGCATTTGGTGCAACGTAGAAGTGACAGCGCTAGCATTGTGGATCCACAGTCTTCCTAGCAAGCAGGAATATAAAGGGTGGATATCCATTACATAAAAAGTTGAGTCAAATGTTTGGGTTCCAACCTTTATGGGGATATCCACCTCCCCATGCACCATCCTTTTTGAGCCGTCAAAAGCCCTCACTACTATATTGCTTGGTTTCAATGTCAATCATTCGCAATCAAGCCTATCAAGAGCCTTTTTAGGCAACAAATTCAGAGATGAGCCAGTGTCCACCAAGACATGAGCCAAGGTTGTGCCCCTACATTCCACTGAGACATGCAGGGCCTCATTATGCTTCCTTCCTCTTGGCGTTAAATCAGCATCCGAGAAACCTAAATCATTATCTGCAGTCAAGCTGGCTACACAGCCTTGGAACTGATCGGTAGATGTTTCTTGGGGCACATGGGCAGTTTTCAGGAATTTTACCAAGGCCTTTGCATGCGCCTCGGAACATAGTAGTAAAGCCAGCATGGAAATTTTAGATGAAGTTTTCCCCAATTGTTCAACTACGTCGTAGTCGCTTCTTTTTATGATCTTTAGAATTTACTCCATCTCTTTATGAGAGGTCTCAGGGATGGCCAACGATTGTGCCTTCGTCCAGACAGGCTCAATCAGAATACTTTTACCCCGAGTCTCGGTGAACTCAGCAGCAGGAATGTCAATAGGAGTGATAGCAGGGATTGTAACAGCTTTGTCAGTTGGAGCATTGGTGGAGATGATTGTGGGACTGGGAATAGCCTTTGGAGGAGCAACAATAGCAGGAATGATTACGGGTCCAAAAACTGCTTTTGGGGGAGAAATTTCTAGAGAGAATATCCTTCCGCTTCGGGTAATCTCGCTAGTCCCTGCAATATTACTGATATCGGAGTTAACTTTCTCAGAACTGGAATCTTCGGCAGCTGGCCAATCTTGTTTGATACCGTGGTAGTAGACATCCCCTCCATAATTTCATGGTATGGTTTTGTCTGACAAATACGGGACTGGTCCATGCATTGTAATTATCAAAGGAGCTACTTTTAGATATGATGTAATTCTAACAGGTCTTTTGGTGGAGACCCTGGAAGAATTGTCGGAAATGGTTACAATGTGTTGTACCCCAAAATTTTCCCTCTCACTTATCAAGAATCTTCTCACAAGATCTCATTGGGCTCAAGACTGCACTAGGGTTTGATTAGCTCAAGACACCTCCTTAAGCACTGATGACCAAATTTAGGGTTTGAGTTTGCACAAGGATTTTTGAACTTCCAATGCCCCATATGATTTTCTTGGATCATTATGGACCCCCAAGATTACTCATGTCAAGTTTCAAGCCTTGGATCACACTTTTGATCAGTCAATTGAACAATTGACCTAAAAATCAACTGTATTGGGGACAAAGTCAACCATGGTCAATTTACAGTCAAACTTCATAATTTTTTATCTACATCAACATTTTAGACTCATATTTATCATATAATCAAGTTTGGACCACAATTCTTCAAGAAATTTGATCAAATCTCCAAAAGGGCAAAATGGTCAAAATTAGGGTTTTGATTGGAAAAGGGCAGTTTCTGATTTTTGACCTAGCAAATGGTCAATTGGTGTAAGACATGATCTCAAGAGTTCAATGGCATCATTTTAGACCTAATGACTTGATTCAAAATATTGCAAATCCTTTGGATTGACAAATGAATTTTACAATCAACTGATCAAAAGTCAACTGTATACTGAAAAGTCAAACTTTGACTTTTTGGTCAAATTCAAGTTCCAAAGATCACAATTCATCAAAACATGTCAAAATAGGAAACTTATTCATCAGGAAATCAAGATTTCATTTTGAAAAGTCAGAATTTCTAAACTTAGAAATTTTTTTAAGTGTTGAAAATTTCTTATTTTTTTCATAATTTTGAGCAATTTTTTCACCATGATGAAAGATGATTCAAAGGAAACCTCCAACATGAAAGTTGTAGATCTCCATGAAATCTGCAACTTTTCTTCACACAACTTCTCCTAAAAGTGGTTGGATCTCAAGTTATAATTTTGTGAATACATGCTCATGAACTAAAAAAGACTTAGTGAAATTTTGCCCTAGTTAGGAAGATTTTTGACCTAACTTCATGGCAATTTTCACATAGTTCCAAGGGGAATCTTCAAAATAAATTCAAAGATTGGTTGAAGATAACATTGCAAGCTTTCCAAAATGTTCAATAACTACTTGAGATCATTCTTGAGCAAGGAGAATCGAAGGCAAGAAGTTGGGGTTTTCAAACTTGAATTACAAGCTATTTTGTGAAGAACACTTGATCCAATCTTCAAGCATGTTGTACAAATCTTGCTTTGCAGGTTTAAAACTTGCTAATCACTCAATAATTTAATGTTTAAACAACTGATAGAGCCATTGTCCAAACATTTGAGCCATTATCCAAGTTGCATTTCCATTTTGGGAAGAAAGTCACCACTTCCATTTTGGAAAAGTGACTTTAATCACAATGTCAACTCTTCTTGAGCCCATACATTGTTGTTTCTGACTCCAAAACATCTAAAAGCAAGAAGCAACATTTCTACAACCTGCTAACCACCCTGCAAATCCTTGTACTTCACATTGAAACCATGTTTGTCAACTTTGCTTCAAAAATAAGTAACCAAGCCATAACATGTGATTTCAATTTCTGAGTTGTTTCAAGCCTCAAAACCTCTTGCCTATAAGTACATACACTATTTACAAGATGACACACGAATGCTAGTACCCTGAAACTATCTCAAACACTCAAAAACCATAAATCTGCTCAAAAACACCATTGATATACAGTTTTGAACCAAAACTCATCATCTACAATTCCACTTGTGCGTTTTGAAAACCAATCATTCAAATAACTTCTATACACCATACAAAAGCAATCTAGGCCCCTGTTTCAAGACTGTAACTCCTCCATCACCATCCACCATTTTTAAACACCAAGCTTGCAGGTTGACTTGAGTAGAGAGATTCAGGAACTTTTAAGACAAAGTAAGAGTTGGAATACATTCAATGAGGTCCAGGCAAGCTAAATAGATCCTCATGCCATCTCAAAAGTTGCTCAAACTCCATTCACGACTCTGTCGTACCCCAAATTTGCCCTACCCTAATCTAGGGTTTTCTTCAAATAAATTTTATTATTTAGTTTTCACCTTTATAGGGGTATTTAAAGTCAAAGGGGTGTGTTGATGTAAAATAGACCATCAATATCTGATGGTCCATTAAGTCTTAAAATTTGTTTCAAGTTTAAGAGAGGGGTGTATTATAAGAAGAATGGGTGTGCGGACTTTACAAAATCTGAATTAACTCTATGGCCTGATTAGAGGGTTTGAAGTCCATTTTTTTTACTAAGCCAATTTTTTACTATTATTTGTTATTCAATTAATCAGCATCATAGTTCATAATCAATATAACTACTGCCATGTGATTAAATTATGTTGTTAAAATTATTTTATTATATTAATTAAACTAAAGTCAATATCTGACTTTAAGTCTATTATTAACATTATTATTATTTTTACCATTATTAATTATATTAATTTTGATTAAAATAGTGTATTAAAGATTAAATAAAGATAATGTTGGGTTTTGTTAAATGTTGGGAGTCTTACAGCCCAATCGGTGGCCCATTTAGCTTTTTTTGTTGTTCAAAACAAATTTGATTAACTTCTTTTCTTTTTATTAAATTTATTTTTGATTGAACATAATCATATATTTACAACTGAATCGGTACTCATTAAACAAAATCAGTGAATGCAGAAACTCAATCAAAACATGATCATCTAATTGTGGAAACAGTTTGAAAGGCATTGAATCTCCTGAATGCAGAAATTATTTGAATTTCAAAAATACAGACACATTGAATTTTTTCCTAAAATATCCTAATCCCTAATCGCTAATTAGAATAATAATGGAGGGGAACCGATTCTCTCATGCCACACACAATCTCTACACACTACACGGTTTTCCACACAAATCCTTATTTTTGTTTAACACATTTTTCATACATAATTTCTTGTCACTTGGTATATGCACCAGTTTCTATTACATGTACCACACACAAAACCCCTGTTTTTAATCAACCAGTTCCCTCCTGTTCATGAAAATTAAATCTCTTTTTGGTCACATACACAAACTTCTACATACCCACTTTGTATATACAACCATTTTCTAAAACCATAATCCACAAACTTGTTACGCCAAAATCCAACAATTTACAACAACCTGTGGAGACGGAATTCAAAGAAAAAAGGATGAACAATTCGAAGAAGGAAAAATAAACATGAGTTGCATTTGAATCTTGAAGCCACTGCTCATCACTATTTATCTTTTTGTTTTGTTTTTGCAGAAAAATGCAATAGCCACTGCGACTAAGACCAACGAGAACGAACAACAACTTGAAACTGCCGGAGAAGCCGTCAACGTGCACCTCAGCCGTGGCACCTGCAAAATGCTCCAAGCTCCTCGCCGCCTCTCGCCCACGCATCCTACATCCGCATCTTATGCCGCCATCGCTTACAAACACGAATCGACGCCTTATGTATCAACCACTTCAGATCCGCCGATCTCCTTCCGTCGATTCAAAAACGAGAACCGTTCACCCTTCTGCAAACACCATCTCCGCGGGCCACCAACTAGGCTTCACAAAAAGGTCCAGTCACCATGAATCCCACCGCCATGCAGAAGCAGTCCCGCCGGCCAAGCCGCGGTCCAGAACTGTTGTCAGCCTTTCCATGGTGGTCTGCACCAAGATCCACAAAACTACAAATCAACAAATATCTTTCAATGCGATTACACACTTCCCCGCCGAGTTTGTTCAGTTAAGGTATGCATTTTCTTTTGATTATATTTACTAATTTGAAGGATTTTTGTTTTGTGTAATTTTGTGTTTTGTTTGAGATAGATTGATAGAAGAAGAAGAATTGAGATAGAGGGAAATAAGAAACTGAGAAAAGTTTTTTGTTTCATGATTTTAAAGAAATAGTATATATATGCAACCATTTTGTCCCGTTTCATATTTTCCCATGTATCTAAAAGCTGGCTTTTTAACAAACGTTTTTCTATAATTATTTCTTATTTGTTATAAAAAAATAAACAGAGATAGAAAATGTGTGTTTTGATTCATGTACCTTCCTGTTACTGTGCATATATTTTGCCTATCTATTTATCACTTTTGTTTTTGTTTTATTAGAAGATACATGTATAAGTTTGATTGATATGTTAATAAGAAAATAGAAGAACAACTCTGATCCAAGGTGATGATAGCCGCCACCCTTTTCTAACATAATGCATATTTTTGTTTTTATTTTTACTTATTTATTCACTTTGTAAAAAAATAGTTTTTTTTTTTAAGAATGATTGGACCTTGGATTTTCATTACACTAGCACCTTCTTAATTCACTTCTACACGTCTTAATTTTGCTTGATTTTATTTAGTTAATTATTTCAGTTTATTCGGTTGTTACTAAAAAAAATGCTAAAAACAAATCGAATGTTATAAATTCAAGCACTTTTCACAATTTAGTTAATTTAATATTTTACATCAAAATATTAAAACCCGCACAATTCATCGAATTACTATGTCCGCGAGCGACACGTGACGAGGAGGCTATATCAGACTCCTTTGTTCTACGCTTAAAAAATATTCAACCAAAAGGAATACGAAACATATTTTATTAACTGCGTGTTTGGTCCAATATCACCGTAATTCACACACCCGGGCTAAGTACAAAGGGAAATTAAAATATCTGCGTAATCCATAAAAAACACAAACCAACCGCGAACTACGAAAATGAGACTATGATTCCTCCTAAGGAGGATACGTAGGTATACGATCAAAAATCGTTGCGAGTCCCGCTAACTAAAATTCAAACCCTTTTCCTTAATTAATAATTAAAACCCTATTTCCTAAACATCGCACTTCTAAACCTAGTATCCTTGCGAACAAGGTAGATAAGGGGTGCCTAACACCTCCCATCGGCTAGAACCGAGTCCAAATCTAGAATCTCTGAACTTTAGGGTTATTCCTTTATACTCCCTTCCATTAGGATAAAAATTAAGGGTGACGACTCTAATTGAAAAACCAGTTGCAACAGACTCCAACTGTAAGGGGTAAGTTTTCAAACTTCTATCTCTTCATACAAGCATCTTTTGATCCTGATTTGTGAAGACAAAATGTAGATACATTTGCTCTAAAGCTGACCATGATCATAGTTCCCATTTATATTGACTGTGTATAGAGAATTTTGGATTTGAAATTTCTGAGAAAATTAGGTTTCAATTTAGTGCCAGAAAAATTAGTTTTCATCTTTGACTTTTAGCTTACATAAGTTATATAGTTGAATTCGTGGGAAGAAACACCACAACTTTCATGTTTGAACTTTCCATTTTTGTGGAGAGATGAAGAAGATACAGGTGGTCTGGCTAGGCGCGAGGTTGAAGATGAAGTGGTCTTCAGGAAGCAGTTTCTAATATATATTTATGGTTTGGTTATATGACTGAATGAAACAGCCACCCCAATGGCAAGCGCACGTGTACTAAGTCACTTCTTACCTAAATGGCGAGGGTTTGAACCAATGTGAACCCCCCTTTTGTATTTTTTGCATATTTTCTGATTTTCTAACATTGTTTGTTTTTGCAGGCACTGAGCCCTTTGTGTCTGACATTGTTTTTTTTACTAACTCACCTCCCTATCTACTTTTGACACCCCCTGGCCCATTTATTTTTATTTACTTATTTATTTCATTTTTCTTTTTAAATTTATTTTCTAAAATACTAAAAATCATGAAAAATACAAAAATGATACATTTTATATTTCGACTTATTTTATTTTATTTTTCCATGAAAAAAAATATTTTATTTACTATACTTTATTTATTTTTCTTATAAACTTAATTAATATTATATTATTTATTTTTCTTCATACTATTTAAAAATATATTATTTAAATACCAAAAAAAAGACTAAAAATATTTTTAAAGCTATAAATATTTTCAAGATAAAAGTGCCAAAAATACTTTCCTTAAAAATTATTTTCTTTTGGTTAATTAATAGAATTAAGGTTTTCTTTTAAAAATATTTTTCTTAATAAATTCAAATTTAAATAATTATTTTCTTTATTTAAATTAGGTTAAGATAAAAAAGTCTTTCTTTATGAAAATCAAACAAAATTTATATTCTTTACATTTTTATCCTTATACATTTATCCATCATTATATTTTGCATTTATGTAATTTTTGTACATATTCAATTTGGTTGTAATAGATTAATTAAGTTTATATTATTGCAATCCCCATTCATAAATTGTATATCCCTCCCCACAAATGTTGTAATAGCGTAGTAACTTTAAATTTTACAATTTATCGCTTTTATATACAATGCTAGTAATTAGGGTTTGTATGGAAAGACTAAAACTAATGCTTAGAAAACCCTAATTCAAGACAAAAACAAGCACGAAAATGATTCACTTGCACACAAACACCCATAGGGTTATTCCACTTGGTTGCCTTATACAAAATGGCCATATTACGCATGTGAGGTATCTTAGCAAAAACAAACGAATACAAGATCATAGTCCATCGATGACGCTATCTAAGTTACCTTACAAATGATCTTAGTCCCTCAAAAAAGAATGCTAAGATACCTTGCAACATTGCTAATCATGATTATACGATGACCCACGTCTGTCCCGTTTATATCCAAAGATATGGTTGCTTATCAAATCAATGGTAACACAACAATGTCAAAGGAAAATAAAATGAACAAGAAAGACATTTGAGTAGGTAGATTGCTCTTAATTACTTGCTCAATTTCAAACAAAAACATCCTTGTTATTTTCAAAACAAACACCTACACATTTCAAAACATCTTGCAAAAATTGAAAACATTTTCAAAAGATCAAACATCTTTGTATACATTCTTACGGACGAGAATCATTACAAAGATTGCTTAAACAAATGGCCTCTTTACAAAATACTTTCAAAAACCACACAAAGCACAATTTCAAACAAAAGCAAGTGATCTAACAAGTAACTAAGAGCTCATGGAAAATCATGGATGAAAAGCATGCTAATATCTTCCCTTTTCATAATCTACCCCCCGAACTCAAGAAACAATCACAAAGGTCTTTCCTGTGCTTTTTCACCTTTCCTTTTGGATAAAAGAAAAGTCAGTGGCGACTCTTAATAACTGCAACATTTGCGATCAAATGCAAAAACCCTCAAGTCAGTTCTCCCACCGCATCACATAACTGTCGACTCTGCTGGGGATATTCTAAAAGTGGGGTTACCTTAGGGATATATCACATTTATTTGCTTACATTGTTTGACTTGTATGCTTTACATTATGGTTCTTTGTTTAGGTTTAAATCCTCTACCCGGATTTGGGATACATTATAGGTAAGTAGCAATACGTTGTGGAAACTGTGTGGGGTATACCGACATGGTCTAAGCAATAACTACGTTAGTGCAACATATTTGTAAGTACCGGTAGCCTTTGAGTTAATCAAAGAGAATACGGGGCCGCTGAGTGATTTCATGAAGCACTAATAAACTTTTAGAACCTTTACTTGACCAAATTGGCCTTTAGGATGTAGTGTGATGACCGACTTTGGTGCAGTCCGAAGTTGGTAGATACTCGATACTACACTCATTGAGGTTTGGTTTCTTGGTATATTTCGGTCGCCGTTAAAGAGGTTTGTGCTGAAACAATGACCAAGGAAACAAACTAATGATATTGAGATCCTTAGAACCCGGTTACTATTACTAGGACAAGTTTAAGCCAACTAAACTTCAAGAGGGTACTTACCTATAAAACTCCATGCAAGCCTGAACCTAATGATTTATTTGTTTTGTTTATGCATACTTGTACATAACATCATGAACATTATGAACATCATATACATCTACTAACCATTTCAAGGATTGTTTGGGATTCATCTTTGTTCTTGTTTTGTAGGATATGGATTCACTTCGCAGGAAAACTATTCAAGTCAATCTTGTAAGGATCCCTCCACAACTTAAGGAGCTAGCTTCAAGTATTCCTGAAAACTCTCAATTCACCGAGAGACATGGCCGCCTACTCAACTTGGTCACCTCCAACACAGATGAGGACATGATGAAGGTACTTTTTCAGTTCTTTGATCCTATACACCATTGCTTCACATTTCGCGACTATCAACTTGTGCCAACTTTGGAAGAATTCTCCTAACTTTTGAGGATTCCCATTCTCAATCAACTACCTTTCAACGGTACGGAAAAAGACCCAAATCCAGAAGAGATTGCTCAAGCTCTACACTTACACTCATCTGATATCACAACTTATTGGGAAACAAGGAGTGGTGTCAAAGGTTTCCTAGCAAAGTTCCTGTTTGAGAGAGCCCAAAGCTGTTGGAATTCCTTGGACTTGAAAGCCTTTGAGGAAATTGTGGCTCTCCTCATCTATGGGGTGGTTTTGTTTCCAAATCCTGACCAACTCATAGATGTCAACACCGTCAAAATCTTCATATCCCGCAACCCGGTACCTACATTTCTTGGAGATATCCTACACTCTTTTCACACTCGCACAATGAGGAAAAGAGGTGTTCTTATGTGTTGCACTCCTCTCTTGGCATGGTGGTTTATTTCTTATCTTCCCCAATTTGTATTAAAGAATGAGCAAGGTTCAAGGTGGTCATAAAGGTTGATGACGCTCTTTCAGATAGAGGAGGTTGAACTCTTCCAGCCAAGTCTCTCCATTTTTGCGCATAGTCCTTGAAGCCTTCATTTGAAACCATGGTCATACTCTGGAGTTGAGTATGGGTAGGCGCAAGATCAGGATTGTATTGGTATTGTTTGTAAAAGGCTGCAACAAGATCTTC